TTTTTTGTCCCAGCCACCCAACTTACACATGAAATAATCACACAGGAACTGTATTCCTTTTCCTTACAACAACTGGCACTCCAACGTGGTCAATGATATCCATGTAAAACCTGAGAAAGTTTTAAAAGGAATTCTAGAAAAACAACAACAACACAAAGACAAAAAAAAAAACAAGTTTGACACAGTTTTTTGCTGTTTGCTGGCATCCTGCCGCAGCAGCTTCTTTATGAGAGATTTTTTTGACTCAGCAGATACATTAGAAAAAAAGCAGCAGTTTTAAAATGCCGGCTTTCTGAGCTATGCTGCTAGCATGACCTCTGTCTCTTGTGGGAGACAGAGCATTTGGATGGGGTTTGTGAGTAAAGTGCTATGGCTTGTTTGATGGAAATGTGGACTCACTGTGTGCCTTGAAATGGGGCAATGCATGTGGCTCAGAGGCACAAACAGCTCAGAGGTACAAGCAGCTCTGCCATGCCATGCTGAACTGTGTGGAGCACAGGCAGGAACTACCATATTTATCATAATAATAGCACAGTTTAAGTTTTAGACTGGGCAGGCAAACAGGTCATACCATTTTACCCCTACTAATGGTGCAACTTACTTTTTTAAGAAGCGCTTAGCATTTTTAGAAGTGCTCCTGGACAGTAAAGAATTACAGATTCATAATAGGACTGATTTAGACATAAAAGACCTTTAAATGGGTCACAGTGTTAGATAAATATATGCAGACTTGGGAGAAAGAAGAAAAAGAGTATAGAGAGTCATAAAATAATGTTAATTCTTTAAAAAAAGGGGGTAAAGCCTTTAAAGAGACAGATCATAGATAGTCATAGATTAAAAGAAGTAAAAAAAATAAGCCACATAAAAATGGAAAATTCACAAAGAATCTGGATTATGTATATATTGTGTTATCTTTGAATGTTTCGACTGTGACAGAACTAAGTACCAAGAGACATTTCATTGCATGGGCTGCTTAGCTAAACCAGCAAGTATATTATAAAGGTATCTTGACTTCAGAGTTTGAGTCTAAGAACATGCTGCTTGGGAAGAGATTTTTCTTTTGCTTTCACAGAAGATGAGAAGCTGTGGATTGTCTACAGGCAAATATGGTTTCATAGACCAAGGCTTTCTGAAAGGTTGCCATAAACACCCTCAAAAAATTTCTTCACCCACTTGCCAACTGAGATGAACCTAGCACACAGGATACACCATGAAAGACCTGATTAATAGCATATCCATACAGCAGGAAACAGTTTGGAGTGAAAAAACTATGCCCATATTCCCAAACATTGTTTATAAATGCTTTTTTTACATTTAAAGGGGGATATAATATAGATATGAATATTTTGCCTTGGTATGGATCTTGGTTTACTGATACAAATTTAAGGTCGATCTTGTTATATGTATATTTCTGCTCTTGATTGAGGTGATGTGACTGTGTAGTTCATTTTAAAAATGTAATGTATAATTGAGAAATATAGGTTAATGGATAATCATCTATAACAGTCAAGCTTGTAATTATGTTTGTTAGATATTCTAGATATATAAAGATATATTTCAGTTAGGTATTAATTAAACCTTTCAGAGACCTTCAGAATATGGCATTTAAAACCTTTAAGAACTTAGAACTTTTCATGACAGTGATAAACATCTGCTCCTGGCAGCACCAAGCTACTTTGAGAGGAACATGGGCATTGAAGAGGTTTCTTACCCATTTGGGCAAGAAACTGATCTTGCCTGGACTGCTTCACTGGACATGCATGACCTGCAGATAAATGACTTCTGAACTTGCCTAAAGGTGAGATGATCCTTCAGGGTTTCTGCTTAATGAAAGACTCTATGAGACATTCTGCAGGATACAGAAGAAAGTGACTGAACTGTCTTTGAATTTTCCTGCTTCATGGAAAAGTCTGCTGGATACTATGGGCCTGTAGGCTAAAGATGGATGTCCCTATGGTACAGAAATACTTTGGGTGATTGTCCAGGTAGTGAGATGTCTCTGTTAATTCTAGAATTTTAGAAGTTGCTTACAATGTACTTTCTGTTTACTTAGGTAATATTATATCCTTCTGGAGTCTTTGATGGAGTTGAAGAATAAATAGTAATAATATAGCTTTGCTTAGTTATGATAAAAGATAAAGTAGATATAAATACTGTAACTATAATTCTTATTTGATACCTGTTTTGTTATATGTAATTTTACTATGTTAAAGTTAAAGCCTTGGGCTGGAAAGATGGCTCAGAGGTTAAGAGCACTAGTTGTTCTTCCAGAGGTCCTGAGTTCAATTCCCAGCAACCATATGGTGGTTTACAACCATCCATAATGAGACCTGGTACCCTCTCCTGGCAGACAAGCATACATGCAGACAGAGCACTGTATACATAATAAATAAATAAATCTAAAAAAAAATAAAGTTAAAGCCTTCCTTTTTGTTTAAACAGAAAGGGGAAAATGATGTAGGAGGTCCTTCTTTCTATCTGTTGCTTGTTAATGAATAAAGAAACTGCCTTGGCCTGATAGGGGCAGAACTCAGGTAGGTGGGAAAAATGGAACTGAATTCTGGGAGGAAGAAATCAGAGTCAGAGAATCCATGGATCCTCTGCCTGAGATGGACACTGGTTAGAATCTTGCTGGTAAGCCACAGCCACATAGCAATATACAAATTAATAAAAAATGGGTTAAATCAAGATATGAGAGTTGGTCAATAAGAGGCTAGAATTAATGGACCAAGCAGTAATTTAATTAATACAGTTTCTGTGTGGTTATTTTGGGGGCTAAGCAAGCCAGGCAGCCGAGACAAAAAAGCGGGCCCTCTTCCTCACATCAGAAAACGAACTAAATTTGCTGAGATTCAAAGCACAGAAACTTTAGGAAGAAAAGAGGCAGAAGAAAGTCAACAAGGCTCTCAGCCTGTACTGTCCCTATTGGAAAAGAAGATGACTATGAGAAGCAGAGATCCTCAAGAAAGGATCAGGTGTGAAAGGATCATCCATAGAAAATATAAAAAGATACAAAGATGACTGTTGTCTATGAATCTCAGAGGCATTAGTAGGCATCAGAACAAGGTAGAAAGATACAAAGGTCAGTAAGTTCAGGTTCTGAGGGTGACACTCAGTTTTCAAGTTATTACCAGTGTAATGTTTCAGCATATAAATAAATACCTGCACATATATGTCTACAATATGTCTACACATATAAATCCTTATACATGGAGATCAAATCTCTTATTCATCATTTCAAATATGGAGCACTCATCAAACCCTAACAGCATTCTGAGCACCTGGGGATGGGACAAGGAACAAGACAACATACTTGGTGTTATGAACCTACCCTGCTGTGTTAGAGGCATTAAAGCAAAAATAATAAACTCAGGAAGCAATTAGTGGTAGAACCAGGGTTAGAGCTCAACACAAAAGCTATCTTCTTATTAGATAAATTGACTACACACTTTGAAGATGAAAACTGAATATTAAAAGGATATACTAGATCAATGGTTCTTTTTTTTATTTATTTACTGATTCTGACTTTTATTTCCCTGAACGAATCATTAAAATTTAATCAAGAACAAGAAAGACATTTCACTGGACATTATCAGAATCACTAAAAGACAGTAAAAAAATAAATCTTTATGCCAAGTAAATTACTACAATTGTATCACAAGTATAAGATCCTTTGGATACATCAAATGCTTTCAATTTATTAAATATAATCAACCATTTATTCTTTTTTTTCTTCCTTAACATAAGATTATTTGTTCTGAAGTGGATAGCAATAATGAAAATTGAACTTCAGGGAATATTTCCTGCTACCATTGAAGAAATAGCTCTCATTATGGTCTGTACTGGGTCTTACATTCAGGTTTTTTTATGTACTAGTTAATTTACTCTAAATAGTGAGAGACTAGACTTATCATTTTAGAGTTGAAAAAATCAAATAATACAGAAGATAAATAGTCCAAAATTATGAAGTGAAAAACAGAAGCAGTTTTAACCATTTCTCGATGGGACAGTCATCATGTGAGATGCAAGTCTAAACTGTACAAGAGGTTCACTACTGTGGGACTTATACTATGGTCTTGTACTATGTCACTTGTAGTAATTTAATAAAATGCTGATTGGCCAGTAGCCAGGCAGAAAGTATAGGCGGGGTGACCAGGCAGGAAATATAGGTGGAGCAATGACAACAGGAGAATTCTGGGAAGAGGAAAGAGTCCATCAGCAGTCATAACAGAGGAAGCCAGACTGAATGGCTGCAGAATTGGGCAGGACAGAAACCTCTGTCAACACTTCATTCTATAAGGCATTATTAGTTCTACAGTTAGAGAAGAGCCAGCTAAAGCCCAAGGGAAATTACGTTAATTCCCTGAAACCAAAAGGAGATAGATGACATTATTAGGATAATAGATATGATAGAAAACACACAAGAGGACTAGAATCTGATTAATACTAGAACCTGATTAGTGTGTGTGTGTGTGTGTGTGTGTGTGTGTGTGCTTATGAGTATGTAGATCAGTAGTCCTTAACCTGTGGTTTCTGACCTTTTGGGAGTCACATATCAGATATCCCACATATCAGATAATTACATTATGATTCATAACAGTAGCAAATATCAGTTATGAAGCATCAATGCAATAGTTTTATGGTTGGGGATCACCACAACACAAGGGACTGTATTAAAGGATTGCAGCATTAGGAAGGTTGAGAACCACTGTACTAGATTAAGAGATAAAACCTCTATTTGTGGGGTCACACTTAATATCTAAAGCAAGGTGTATGAAATTGATGTGTCAGTCACATAGAAAGAGAAGTGGGAGAATAATGGGGGAGGGAGGAAGAAAGAAGAGGATGTGGGAGAAGAAAGAAGTTAACTCAGTCATCAAGTGCAAAACATTCAGGAAATAAATGTTAACTGATAAACTCTGCATCCTCAGTAGATTCTCAGTCAGTTCTGTCTTAGAATATTCATCTTTCTTCTCTGCTTCTCCAAGATAAGCACTTACTGCCTTTAGATCTGAATCTTTCTTCATATCATCCACATAAGAAAGGACAAAGTCGATCTGCCTAACTCCATCTCTGAAGAAGATTGAATCTTTGCTTTGTTCGCTTCTTTGAAACTGTAGAAGACATAATTAACATGATTTTACATTATTGTGTATTCTCAGAAGGCAAAAACATGAAGAAAAGTCATTGCAATTTGGCCACCACTTCATTTTTTTTCCCATACTTAACACAGCAAGCAAGCCAAAACATGACAGAAATTAGGTTCCTTTTAGAACATAAAATTTCACAGAGAGAATTAAATGATATATGCTCAGGAAAGGCTGAAATGCTTTAAGTACATGCTAAGCACATTAACCACATGCTATCACAAAAATGCTGCAAGTAGATCAAAATGTAAGATGAATATACTCATACACAGACAGCAAAATACATACTCAAACAGAAATGTGTGGTTTTAATTGAACATCACACCAATTAGTCTACTAAGTATTGCATTATTACACATTTCTTCCAGGGCACAATCAAAAACCAAGATGCAGTTAAGAATCAGAAGCAGGGAGTAGGCAAGCAACATCACCATGGCTAAGTCCTACAAATGTCTGTCATCAGTGTCTCAAGTGAGTTACAACCCATCTTTCTTTATGATTTTATGAATTTTCTCAAATAATGAAAGTTACATGTTCACCTTTTACATGACGTGCAGCTCATGAATTCCTTCCATTTTGTGATAGCAAAAGAAAACAACAAATAAAAACAGTACTGAGCATTTCAGGGGAAAAAAGATTTCACATTTGATTTTCTTCCTCACCATTCATGGAAAAGGTACAATACTATGTACTTTTGAGCGACAGTCCCTTGTGAGAGGCTCAGCATCATGCAAAGGTTGGTGGGAAGTCTCCCAGTTGCTTTCTGAAACTGGTAAATGAGAGCTAGATCTATTGATTTTTTTTCTTAAGCAGGTACATCTGCTAACCCCTGAGCACCTTCTGCAGGCCTTGTGCTTGTCCGCACTTTTCAACTCAACTGAGAGTTCCCATAAAAGGGGCAGAAATCTTGGGCTTGATCTGAGGTCTGTGAACACAGTAATTCTATTTGCCTATGGGTCACTGGTGGCTGTGGTGGAGGAGAAAGAGGCACTCGAGGCATATGAGGATAAGAGTGGTGAAATAAACACAAAAATATCTAAGGAGAACAGACCAAGTATCAGAAAAAATTAATTCAAAGGCTTGACTTATCTGTCTATCTCTAGAAGACCTAGAGTCCCTCCCCTTTCATAAAGGAATGATGTAGGTGAGTCTTCTTTCTGTGTGTTGCTTTCATTTGGTTAATTAATAAAGAAACTGCTTGGCCTGATAGGTCAGAACACAGGTGGGTGGTGTAGACAGAACAGAATGCTGGGAGAAAGAAGCAGAGTCAGGCAGATGCCAGAGAGCCACCCACCATGAAGCTGCCAGGTCAGACATGCTGAATCTTTCCCGGTAAGCCACGAGCTTGTGGTGACATATAGATTACTAGAAATGGGTTGAATCAATATGTGAGAGTTAGCCAATAAAAGGCTAGAAGTAATGGTCCAGGCAGTGTTTAAAAGGATACAGTTTCCGTGTAGTTATTTCGCGTGTAAACTAGCCAGGGAGCCGGGCGGCGGGAACACAGTCTGCCGCTCCTTCTACAACAAAGGGAAAGGAAAAACTGGAGAAGCAATAAGCTGCTCCTCCGCAAGTGAGTTTTAAAAAGGAGAAAGTAAATGAAACACTCACTGGCATTGTTGCACATCATTGCAAAATGAACATATTTGGTAAAGTTCACCAAAATGTGTGGAAGCCAATTGGCAAGAGAGGCATAGTTTAGTCCACATATAATCAAAGACAAAGTCAGAAAGCAAAATAACATCCATCTTTTGTTTTGTGACAACCATGATTTGCACAGTAGAACCTTGGAGAAATCATTCCTGTTTTTTAGAAGAGTTCATAGTTCTCAGAAGACTAGCCCTAGGATTCCCTTAGGGCTGGAGTTATGACTGTGAGCTATGATGGTTGCTGAGGTTCAACTCTGCAAAAGCAGCCAGTTCTCGTAAACATGGAGTCATTTCTCCAGCCCCAAGTCTTCAGATTCTTAACAAACTGATTAGAGCTAAATGGAGCAGAAAAAAAAAACCCACTTATTTTTTTTTTTACAGACAAGTGGATGTCATTAAAACACATCATGCTTTTATTTTACTGAAAACATAACATAAAGAACACATTTTAGTATATGTATTTGTGTGTATTGTAGAGAGCTGCATGGAGCCGCGCCTTTAAGATGGCTGCCGCCCTCCATGAACCCAAAAGCGAGCGCTCTCTGTGATAAACAACTTCTTTTATGGTGATGGCCCATGACCTGCTATGATCATGTGTCACTTGCGTATGCTTGAGCCTATGGGCGATGTCCACGTGGCACTCTGGGATAGGCGACCATAGCCTATATAAGGTCTGGGAGAGGTCTGCCCCGAAACAGAAACGGGACAGAAGCGAGAGAGAAACAACTGTTCAAGGTCCTAAATAAACTGCACGCAAGAAGAGCTCCGGTGTCGCGTCATCATTGCTGGTTCGAGGCGGTCGCGTCAGTGTTTATTTGTCCTTAAAGATGCCCAGTTACTACAAAGCAATACACAGTTAGGATCTAGCTTACCATCATTTATAATCCTGATGATTCCTGAGCCTTTGAAGTTATTTACACTGTCTGTATGTGTGTTTGCATGTATGCTTTTAGGAAGTAAGCTCATCAAATGGAAAAGACTGAGAATTACCATGATTAAATGCCAACTGCCTGCTAACTGGGAATCAGTGATCAAGCCCCCCTTGTGTGTACAGCATTCACGGAACTGAACTCAGAAAGCATCCAGGCTGTTACTGCAGACACTCAGGCACGGGCAGCAGCAGCCAGCACTGTTTTACCATAAGACGTCTCCTCAGGAACAAATTGAATCGCTTCTCAGGCTGTGGAGCAACCAATGAAGAGTCAGCACAAATCTTTTGGGGCTTCAACACACAGACACACATCAATAAAGCTGTGCTCTGTGGTGAACGGCTATGGTGAGACATTCCAGCCCTGGAGCAAGACTGTTGTTCCCTAAGATGAAGGGTTTGCTTCCTGAAAGTACAGCCACCACCTACCTGGAGTTTATCGTAGCTAACCCTGGCTTCACAGTATAGGTGTCGGGCTGAAGCAGGTGTTGTTGCTGAGATGGTTCTGACTTAGCAAGACCTGCTCTGCCTCAACACCAGGTATGGGTAACTACAACAAGCCCCAGAATTAGTTATTCCAAATCATCATGACACCAAAATACTCCTAATGCCTGCATAGATGCCGCCCCTCAGAGAGCCTGTGTTCATGAGTTTCTCTCACATCTTGCCCACCATTGCTGTGCTACAGGAAAGCTGGTAAAAGCTGCATTTCTGGTGGTGATTGTCCAGCTGAATCCTTCCTCCCCTTAACCATCATACACACCACAGAACTGTCAGTCCTGCCCCTATTTCTTAAAGAGAACACTAAAGGTACAAGTCATTAATGAAAAAAAGGGGAAACCTAAATTTTAAAAAAATACATTTATTTTAGAAAAAAAAAGCCCAATGATACTCCAGCCAAAAACAGGCTGCTTTTCCCCTCACTATCCTATATTTGAATTCAAGAGTGTCTTATGGACTTGGTTTTCCCCTTCTGGGTTCCGGAAACAGTCTATTTCCCTCTGGTCCCTGGTCCCATGGGCTGCACTGGGTCCATGGTTGCTATACCTGTATATGTTGGGAATCTCCTGCACTATGATAATCTGTACAATTACTCCTCAAAGCATCCTACTTTGAACATGTCTAAGAAGATCTTGGCTGACACAGACGCACTTCGTGCTGACTGATTGTAAAGAGAACAAAAGTTCTCTGGAGCAGCGATTCATTCTCAGATTCAGGCTAGAAACGGACAAGATGAACCGGCAGTATCTTGTAGTATCAAAAATGAAGAAAACACCAAGAACAAAACAGAACACAATAATGGAGTGTGTCTAAATTATACTGACTTCACTAAAAAGCTCCCTAATGCAATGAAATAAAATATTATTGAGCTTATAACACAAGATATAAAATAAATATCTATGATGTGATGCCAAGGAAGGAAGGAGGAGGAAAGGAGAGGCCACAGAAGAAGTCCAGGGAAAGGAAATGTGATTTAATGATAGAATGTTTGTCTAGATGGTCCTGGGTTCAAGTTTTGGCACTGTTAGTGTCAGTGAAAGAAAAACCAACCAAACAGTTATGACTATCATCTACTTTTAAGATTAAGCACAACCCTTAGCACTCATGTGCACACTGCATACAGACACAGAGACTAGTGAAGCACATAAGAAGAGGAACATACAGATACATAGTAGTGGAGAAACCTGAGCAAACCCACTTTAAGCCAAATAATCAAGGCTAAAGTGTCCCAATGTGCCCAGGACATGATGCAAAGCTGATGAGACTTTTTGACTTTCTCCACCTCCAGTTTGAATCATTAGAAATACATTAGGAATGCTCCAGCTGGGGTGCGCTCTACAAAGTAAAAGGACAGCATCAACCCTGGAGCTCACCAGATGCAAGGAAGTACTTAAAGTTGCCTCCACCAGGAGGTGCAGAGGAGACAGAGCTACTAAGCACAAGTAAGGACCTTCGAAGACAATGACAGGGGAAACTGAGGACACCTGAACTCCACTTCCTGTCTTCCCAAAGAGCATCCTTATTTACTCAGAAAACAATCAAACTTTAAGTTCAATAACTTCTGAGTTGGATCTAAGATTAATTTTTGAAGTTCAAATTATGATTATTCTTAGGCATTAATTTATAGCTAAGCATACTGTAGTGGAGTAAAAAGGCTGAGGGTTCAATTCTAAGACCTGCCCCATAAACACAGAGTGGTTTTCACAAAGTCTCTGCAACAGCCAAACTTATTAAAAGTGTAAACTAATGTTCCCTATGTGCTGCTCTTCTTACCATGTCTGCCATAATCTTTTTCTTAAAAAATAATTTTCCAAAAGTAAGACATTCTCAGACACCATACATAAGGACCTGAGATTGACATGACAGTATCCAGGTCAGGACACAAAAGAACACCTGTGTCTGTCCACCCAAGAAAGGAAGTGTGGGTCATTGCTTACCAATGGCTGCGACTCTTTACTGATGAGGAAGCTGGTATCCCTGGTGCCCATGCCCTGTTAATAGCAAAAAGTGAGTGAGAGAGGGGGAGATACAGAGCTGTTAAGAATGACCTGAGTAAAAAACCATAACATTTAAGTTTCCAAAGCAAGAAAAGTGAGGTTCTCTCTGTAGAAACACCACACCTTGAAACCTAAACTCTATTTCTCCATCTGAAACGGTATATGAAGTTGCAAGTATGTGTGCATACATGCACGTGTGTGTATGTATCTGTACACATATCTGTGTAAGGTTGGAAAAAAAAGAGAGATGGGAGTAACAGAGGAAGGAAAAGAAACATTGTAGAGGAAGCTCTACTAAGTCCTGAGACAATTTGCAACAGGTGAAATGCTTAAAACCTTCTACCCCACAGTAAAATAACCAGAACCTGTGGTATTTTTAGGATTCTGAGCAGGACCAACAGGGAACACGCATCACTGACTGGATGTTTCATGTTTCTTGGCATTGGTTTGAAATTATTGAAAATTTGTAGCTTTGGGGGCTGGAGAGATGGCTCAGAGGTTAAGAGCATTGCCTGCTCTTCCAAAGGTCCTGAGTTCAATTCCCAGCAACCACATGGTGGCTCACAACCATCTGTAATGGGGTCTGATGCCCTCTTCTGGCCTGCAGGCATATACACACAGAGAGAATATTGTATATATAATAAATAAATATTTAAAAAAAAATTTGTAGCTTTGAAGATGACACATCATGCTTTAAAATAATGAACAATGCAAGACAAATCCCTGTGCATATATGATACACTCAAGCCACATGCAATGAAAGTGTGTCTGCTTTCTTGGACATGGGTTTCCAATCCACTTGTTGCTCAGTGGTGCTCACACCACAGCACTGGCTCCTGAGGTCTCACCTGTCCACTTTCTGAACTTCGAGGGATCGGATCAGGAGTGGCCCCAATTATCAGAGGTGACCTGAAGTCCATATCTACATTGGGTATTCAGTTTTCTCCTTTGTTGAATATCACATCCAACATGTCACTCTAACTGCTTGGTTCTGGGCAAATCAGTTTTGAAAAACAGTCAATGTGGATTAAGGGCACTTCAGGAGCTTTTGGGAATATACTGCGTGTTGTAGAGTTTACATAGTAGATTGCAAGGAACAACAGTCTCTCTGTCTTCTTAGCTAGGAGGAAGATAGGTTGAGCACAGGTATATTCAAACTACTTCAGCCAACACAAATCACACTTGTGACTGCAAAACTGTAACAAAATAACAAATAAAACTAACCCATCAAACAGTTCTGAAATGGCAGCCTCTACAAACTAACCACAAAGAGATAGAGTGAGGTCTCAGAAGTTAAGAGTAATTGCTACTCTTTTGGAGTACCTGGATTTGTTTCCTAGCACCATGTGTAACTCCTATATCTTCTGGCCGTCCAGGGGCACCTGAATACATGTGTGCATCACAACCACTCCCCAACACACACAATGGAAACTTAAAATCCAGGAAAATAAATAAAAATAAATGGTGGAACTCCATTTACACCATGAAGGCAGTAAAGGAACTTAGTTTGTCCTTGTTTGACCCCAGAGTCTTCAAACATCTGTATTCTATGGACATACAGAAAAAGCAGTTGTTTTACATATGAAATGACTGAAGAAAACCACACAGTACTGGTTATGTTCTCACAGGAACTTGACTATCTCACACCTTAAAAAAAAAAAAGGTCAGTTTGTTCAAATTTGGACCCAAACTGACAATTATGTCTCCAACTTGAAACATAAACTGGTAGAGTTCCTTCCTTCCTTCATTTTTAAACTCTTGGCTGTGTATTTCATTGACTCCTGTAACCTAGATTTGGTATGTCTAAGAAGAATCCTTACTATGGTCAAGCCTATGGTTCCTCAACAATGGCATGGCTTTCATTGTCATATGCCCTCCTTCCCAGTGCCCAGTAACTAACCAATTAAGTAAACTTGTACAAAATAGAACAGCACTGGTAAGTCAATGGATGTCACATACTTCTACAAGTAACAAATGTGGTCTTATTCATTCAGAGGACCCACAAATCGTCTCATTACTACACCATGCGTGTTTGAGGTGCACAACATGCCGTCACAGGACAATCTCACTTTTCCTCCATTCAAGGCTCAGCTGATTGACTACACAAGGCTGGGACTTGCAGATCCAGAGAGCAACTGTATTTGATTTTATTGTTTTAGATAAAAGTGTTTTCTTAACTCTTGAGTCACTTGAATCAGATAGTCCTCAGTAAAAATATGTTTTCCATCCCAACAACCATGGTGTAAACAAATGTCACACACAAAACAGCATTACATGTCCCTACAGTGTTTTGTTTAAAGTTATTGTCTTGCAGATCAAACCCCAGCACATCTGAACTTATTGTACAGGAAACCTCAATATAAATTCAAATGAGACTTTTCCACTACAACAATATCTTGCTCTGCTCCATTTAAAAATTATGTTTTTAAATGAATTCTGGAACTTGTGTCACTCTTAAATCAAGCAACTGTCTGACAGTGAAACTATTTGCAAAAGGTTGGTTTTCTTAAGTGAGAACACCAATCTAATGTTAAGTTTAAATAGTGAATGAGGTATGGGATCTGTCTCACATTAAAAGATGATCAAATCAGAGAATTATAGGCGAGGATAAGTGGGGTCCAAAGCAGTTATACATCTGAGGTGCTAACCTTGACATAATCTTTGTATTTTGCATATAATGAAGTTAATACACAGACTTACCTCATTCCTTTGGAAAACATAGTTCATTTCTTTGGCTCTTAAACCTAGAAGAAATAAGAAAAAGAAAGATAAATTATGTTGTAAATTAGCAGGTTTAGACACAGCAAAAATTATAGTATTTTATGAGTGATGAAATTAACAAATTATTGGAAGTCAGTGAACACTGGCAAAGAGCTTATAGTAATTTTCTGGGAATGCTCAACAACTGCTCCAAAAGTGAGAGAACTAGACATATAAAGAGAACTAATGGATCTTCCCTCACATTGTATGGGAAACACCAATAACTGGAGACTCCACATCTATACTGATGCAAATACATCAGGAAAGGTAGGTTGCAAATCAGAAAATTTAAGTGAAGTGAAAAATAGTCCTTATGATTCTATCCAAAAGTCAAAATTATGTGCTATTCTCAAGGTACTAAGGGATTTTAAAGAACCTCTCAACATAGTTACTGATTCACAACATGCAGAATGAGTTGTTTTGCATATTGAAACCACTGAATTTATACCCAATGATACAGAATTGAGTTTATCGCTTATTCAGGTACATAACACACATTTCATATGGGTCTGTCAGATCCTCTAGCATAAGGTAATGCACAAATTAATCAATTATTGACAGGAAATGTGATGAAATCCTCAGAATTTCATAAAAAACATCATGTCAATAGCAAATGTTTTAAAAAGGACTTTTTAAATGCATAGCAACAAGCCAAGGAGAACATTAGAAAATCTTCTACTTTTTCATTGTACAACCAAACACCACTACCTGCAGGAAGTATCTCAAAGGGTATGCAAAGGAATGAAATCTGGCAGATGGATATGTTCCATTTGGAGAATATGAAAAACTAAAATATGTACATCACACCATTGATACCTATTCAGGTTTCTAATGGACAACTGCCTTGCATTCAGAAAAGGATGATTTGCTAATGATACATTTATGAGATGTTATGGCCATTATTGGTAAGAATGACAAATGAAGAAGACAATGTTTCAGCATATGTCTCTAAGAAAATGAAACACTATTTTTATTACTATATAAAACATATTATAGGTATACCACATAATCCTACAGGTCAGGCAGTTATAGAAGGATTAAACTGAACTACAAAGGATATATTAAACAAACAGAAAGGGATGATAAACACCCCTAGAAATTGAACTTTGAATTTCTTTAATGTTAATGCGAAAGAAACAACAACTGCAGAGACAGTGGACAATAGAAAAAACTTCTGAATTAAATAAGCTGATGTACTTTAAGGATGTATTGACCTCAGAATGGAAACTAGATGTACTATGTTGGGGAAAGGATCTCACTCTTTTTTCTACAGGAGAAGAGAAGCTATAAATACCATCAAATCTATCCATATTCAATTTGAAAAGGACAAACTTCTTGATACAGAGAAATGACAGGTCATTCACTGTGGTGACAATTCTACAAGTTGTAAGGAAACCTCACAATGGTTGGGGCAGGATTCTGTTCTTGTCTTTGCAGGAAAATAGAAAATATCCATCTTTGAGATGTTAAGAGACCTTGGACATCTAGATGGCTAAAGAAAAAAAGATAGCTATCCATAAAGAATCACCAAATAAAGAAAAATTTGGTTTATGATACCAATATTCTCCACAGGGTAAAATCTCACTCCCCAAACACAAATATCTCCTTACTTTTCAATATAATGGTAGTCCCCAACTGACTTAAAAATCAAAGCTGGCTTTGGAGTTGGTCTGTGGCCCAATCCTCCTATAAATCAAAGCATGTTGTTAAAAGAAAAACTCAGAGTTTCTGTCTCATATCAGGAGAGTCATCTGGTGTGGGACAGAAGAAAAATAAAAACTTTGGGACTAAGGTTATTATCAAAACACTGTTTTCCAGAATTCAATTTCTCCCTATACCTATTATCATCTCCACAGCACCTTTCTTTCAATGTCTACTTAAATTTAAACTTTCTGTTTTTATATGTATAATGTTTAAGTTTTCTACAGTGAATAATAAATTTTTCTACAGTAATCTTTGAAGTCTCTGGGAAGAAGATGGTGCCACACAACAAGGATTCTACCTGGTTCATATGATGCCATTCAGCTGATAACACCGCTTAAAGATTGGTTTTGGACTGTAAACTATTCAGAACAATTTTCAGGTGGCTAGCTGAGATGAATCAGTTTCATATACTACTCTAACCAGGACATGGGACAAGCCCTGAACTTTTCCATTACACAGAGACTGGACAAAAAATAATACAGCTACCACTCCCAGGTCTTGACAATTAACCCAAATTTTTCTTTCAAGATCCCCTAAAGATATTGTTGCCCCTAGACAGCAGGAAGTAAATTTAAGAATACAATGCCCATATTCACAGGAGGTAGGGTGGATGGTTTTTGATCATTCAATGGATTATAGATATTATAGATATGACAGGATAAAAGGATAGATTATTGAATGTACTCTGAAAAGAAAAAGGGAGCATACAGATATGATAAAATAAAAGGTAGATTGTTGAATGTACTTTTAAAAAGCAACTACTAATTTTAAATGTTTTACATTGGATTGGACTTTTGTATATTATATACAAATTATGCATATTGATACAAATTTGAGATTAATTTTGTTAAAACATATGGTACACTCATTTCTTATCTTTTTCAAGGATACAGCTCATTTAACAATGTAAGGCAAATTTCTAGTCCTTGAAAATTATTCTTATCAACTCTTTAGGATAATAAGGAAATGCAGGTTAGTAATTAGTTACTCACTATAGTTGAACTTGTAGTTACATTAGGTATATTTTCAAGGTCAAACAAAGATATATTTTAGATAGACAAGTCATCTTCAAACACTTCAGATCTACAGATTATGGCATTTAAGATGTTTCAATAACATAGGCTCTTTTTCATGACAATGAGACAAGTCTGCCCCTGGCAGCACCAATCTACTTCAGAGAAGATGATAGACATCAAAGAAACTCCATATGCAATTTATTATTTTTATGGCAAAAGTAAGCCACTGGGCAAGAAAATGCCCTGCTGTGACTTACTAACACTATGCTGTCCTATTGGACAAGCAGGACACAAAAGAAAGTGACTGCTAAACATTGTCAAGACAAAGCAGGACAGCCCTTCAGAATATCCCGCTTCACAGAAAAGTCTGTCAGATATGCTAGGACTGTAGGCTGAAAATGGGTCTCTCAATGTTACAGATGAACTTTGGGTGACTCTCCAGGAACACTACTGTTTCTGTTTTTACTCAACATTTTTTTTGAAAGTCACTTGCTTGCACTTCTTGCATATTCAATACTATTGCCTTCTTTAGTCTCTGAGGGAGTTGAAAGCTAGATAGTTATAGGCTTTTTTTTCTTGTTGTTTACCTGATGCAGAAAGCAAGTTATGATAGAAAGCACAAGATTTTGGACTCACCAAGATAGGATAGATATGGAGCATTTTCTCTGAATTTGTCAAATGCAAATGGACTAGACATCATTGATGCATTTATTGCCTGTATATATTGTATATAGTTATTGTACTTATTGTATATAGTTTTTCTTAGTTATAGCCTCCTATTTTATTTTAGACAAAGAGGGGAAATGTAGCGGCATTTTATTTGTATTTTAATAACTAAAGCTTGCCTGAAGATCAGAAAAGTAAAACAGCCACACACCTTTAATCCCAGTTGCCTCATTAGCTTGCCATAGATACCAGGTGGTCATGGTGCATGCCTTTAAACCTATAACTAGAGAGGATTATAAAATATGAGGAAACAACTCTCAATCTTAGTCTCATTTTGAAGTTTCCTGGAGGCAGGATCACCACTCTCAGACTGAGATCAAGGTAAGAGCCAATGGCTGGCTGCTTTGCTATTCTGGTCTTTGGGTTGAACCCCAATATCTGTCTGTGAGATTTTATTAATCATGCTACACTAAAGCATGGGCAATATGGAAAGATAACAGAGTTTAGTATTAACTGTGCTTTCAGGCTCCCATTTGTTCCTCAAGCTATGTTCCCTACACAGGTAGATACTGTACACAGGGAGACAATGCATCACGGCAAACAACACAGCATCCATAGCTTCCCTTTCAGCTGACACATCAATGACACAATGCCATCTCCATCTTATAAAGTATGTGAGCTGATGTGTGTGCTTGTTGATATTGTTGCTATTATTAGGATATGTTATATTCCAAATTCATTTTTCTGGAGTTCTGTAAATTATTTGGTTTATGTTTCAGAATAAAGTTCTTAAAATTATTTTTATGTTCATATCTTCGTGTTGCAGGAGGCATTTTTAAGATGTTAACACGTCCAATAATTCATCAGATCATGCCTTTTTCTCTTTCTAAGTGGGAGCATGGTGGGAGTAGGAGGCCAAGAGGGAAAGGAGAGGAAGGAAGGGGAGTGGGAAAAATATATAGCTCAGTAAAAACAATAAAAACAAACAAACAGAAAGGTGTTAACACTTAAAAGCACAACATGAACCTTAAACAACAATGACTGTGTCACTTAGATTTCCTGAGTGTAGACTTTTTTCTTGTGAAAGAGAAAAACAGAAATAAAACATCCTTTGAAAGGTACATAACATACAAAACCACACATCAAGGACTTTCCCAGTGAATATGCCTCAATATATAGCTTGGGATTCAACAATGCCCCAAACAATTCTCATTTGACTTGTGAGTGAAGGGAAGACTCTTACATGCCTTTGTGCTATGGTTTGGATATGGTTTGAGTGTGTCTCCAAGAGTTTCACATGCCAGAGGTCTGGCTTCCAGTGTGACAATATTGAGAAGAGAAGGCAAGAACCCTGGCAACGCATGCATGGGCAGCCCATATATGGTGGTTATGTTAAACTTGTCCATATTTGGGTTTCATGGTCCTAATTTATGAGGTTGACTGACCAAGTCTCTTCCTCAAGAGGGCACCAGATCTCATTATAGATAGTAGTGAGTTATCATGTTGTTGCTGGGAATTGAACTCAGAACCTTTGGAAGAGCAGGCAGTGCTCTTGAGTGCTGAGCCATCAAGAGCCTAGTCACACATAATTGGAACACTGCAGGCATCCCATTTGGAAGAAACTCCTTTAGTTCTAGAGGAGTCGCAGTCATTCCTTACGAGAACGAGCTGTGAGAGAAAGAGCCCATCATGCCCCAAGTCTTTCTGGCATTACGTCTTATCGTAAATTGTTCTCTTGCATTTGCTCCTGCAGCATCAGTCATCGTGATATGTGGCATGGCCAGAAATCCCTCAAGCTGTGCATATGTCAATTGCTCAACTCTAAACGCATGAGCTAAATACTACTCTGCTCCTGACTATCACTATCACTGTCAGACACTTCATTAAAGCAACAAAAATTAATTAACAGGCCTTATGACAATGAGGTCAGGATCAAGACTCTCAGAGACATGTATTTATATCTGAAGTTATGGTAGCAGGGGATACCAACTCACAGATTATCACAATTTATCACAATTACACCAAGGAACAATGCAACCCCCAAATAGGATCACATCACAGAGCCATCAAAAAGCAGTCCTTAAACAAGGAGCACAGAGCACTTTATGGCTCCAGTTTTATGAAGAAAAAGGTGAAAATTCTAAACAGGAAACCCTCCTTTACCTGCCTCCTTTGCTCTGTTTGACATAAAATTAGCCAGGATAGACACTTTCACTTTCAAACTCTCATCTGAACTTGACAAGATGGATTGGAAGATTCTGACAAGGGTTGCTCTACATCTCCCAGTCTTCCAAGGTCCCTGCTACCCTCCCCTCACTCTGTACCCTTGAATCTCATGCTTGCCTTCCCTGGAGTAAACTGTCTGCACTGGCTCTGCCCTGCTGATACTTCACACTGTGGCAGCTCAGATATTCTCCTCCCCAGCCTTGCCCCAAGTCACTTCATGAGTTCTTCTCTGTGTGTTGAATCTTCTGAGCAGCAGTATTTGAGGAGGTTAGATTCTTTTTCCTCCTATATTACACACACACACAAACACACACACACACACACACACACACACAGAGAGAGAGAGAGAGAGAGAGAGAGAGAGAGAGATCACTTGCTATCCCATGCACAAATATTCACAACTCAGGTACACACACCAAACATGAGGCCTGGAACTGAAATGAGAGTTCAGAGGTCCAGAGTAAGCAGTGTTCTTCCAGAGGAACAAGGCTCTGCTCCCAGCACCTATATCAAGCAGCTCATAAACGTCTGCTATTCTAGCTCCAAGGAACCCAAGGCTCTCTTCTAGCTTCTACAGGCACCTGCATGCACACAGCAGACACAGCAGAGACACACAAAGATAAAAATAAGGGCTAGGGAGATGACTCAGCAGTTTAGAACACATATTGCTCTTGTAGAGAGGATCAGTTTCCCTTCCCAGCACTCACACGGCAGTTCACGACCATCTGTAACTCCAGTCCCAGGGGATATAATGCCCGCTTCCCACTTATGAGGGCACCATGTATCCATGTAGTAAACATACATACACGTAAAACTCTCATACATATAAAATAAAATAAAATTTAAAACACTTAAAAGTAAATTTTTTTTTAAAATATTAAAAACCAAGTGTCTTGAGAAGGTCAAATTTGGAGCCAGTTCTTCATGAGCACTTTGAGATCCCTCCAGCCCTGGAAGCTTGCTGTATGTAGGCAAGAAAGCAAAGTTGTGAAGGGTGGTACTAACCACTGAGGAGAGTCACCATTTACACACTACAGAGGAAAGCCAGCACAGACTGGGCAACCGATTTTCATGGAAGGCACCTTACTGTGAACACATTCTCTTGCAAAAGCAGAGCCCAAAATAGCCCCTGCATTTGCCAAGAGATCATCTCATGTTACATGCTTACCAACAGCACAAAATAAAGCGTAACCACATGGCACCAAGAGCAATGTTTTGATAAATATCAGACCACAGATGGGTTAGTGTTCCCAAGCTTATACTGTGTCCTGATGTGCAGGAGGAAGCTCTACCACCCAGGCTTTTGAAATCACCTAACAGCAGATTTCTTAACGTGTTCCTATTGAGAACAACTAACAACAGCATGGGAACTTAAATAACCTCTTAACTAAGGGGTGGGTGCTTTTATTAGATACACTGTTTAATATAGCTATAATATGTTTTTACATCCAGCTTTTAAACTTTCATTTCCAACGCTAAACTTCAATTTACTTTTTCCAGTTATGTCAATAGCAGTCACAGAAGCATAGACAAAATCTGGTAGTTTGAATAAGAATGGCCCCTGTAGGCTGACATACTTGAGTTCTGTACACGGACCTGTTTGGGAGGGATTGAGAGGTGTGCCTTGTTGGAGGCGGTATGTCACTGGGGATGAACTCTGAGGTTTCAAAAGATCACATCACTTCCATTTAGTGTCTCTCTCTCTCTCTCTCTCTCTCTCTCTCTCTCTCTCT